AGATTTTTGAATCATTAGTTAATTTGAGATTTCAAACACTTCTTCAATGTCTAAAGTAAATTTAATTAAAGTCTAGTCCACTTACCAGCTTTTAGTAAAATTTCCGCAATGTCCAACCGTGTTATGAAGTGTACCGATCAAACACTAATTCGGATTTGGTCAAGACTCAAGATGTAACCTCTAGAATCCTAAGTATTGCCAGCTTCCCAAAGTATGAACAATCCAAAATTAGTATATAGAAAATTTATATCATTTTCAAAGATTTTAAATGAATTATGGTGGCTTCCAATGAAGAATATTTCTTTCTTACCTTTTTCTCTTCTTCGAATTTGTTTTTTTTTTTCCAAGCAACTTACAATTATCTATCATTGGTAGCCTCTTCCTCCCAACAAAGTCTCAAAAGGGGTTTCTCTAATTACTGAGTGAAAAATTTAAGTCTAAGTTCGTAAAGAGAACCACTCCGAAAATTACTACAACTTCGAAATTTTCTTGATTAATTAAGACTGTTCTGGAATTTATAGTGTGAAGCATTAAGTCCAAGTTAGATCAAGAAAAGGAATATGTCTCATTTAAAGTGTGGTTATTAAGGATGCCCTCGAAATTACCAAGTGAAGCTAGCTTTAGATCCATATTAATTCATAGTGAGGACGTTGGGAATACTAACCGAAGTTTGAACCAAACTTTAGTTTTCCAATTCTTCCTACGATAATAGAGAAAACATCACCAAGTTTCGGACCTCTTCCTAACAAGTGTAGATCGGTAGTGCTTCGTGAAAGATGATAAGGTTTAACTACGAGGGTCATTCACTAAATGATGATGAGTGTAAAGGACTAGAAACTAAATTTGATTTTGACATGATTAAGTGTTTTAGTCTCAAATACACTAATGATTCTCAAGTCTCAATTTAACTTTGATAAAAACAGCGTGATGACAATTCAATCCTCAATACTATGCAAGTGTGACATATAAAGATCTAAGAAACTGCATAAACACCGAAACTATTTCATTTTTTTTTTTTTTTTTGAAAAATAGATGCATATTGTCCTTACCCTCAAACTTAAACCAAATATTGTCCTCAATATTTAAAATTGAATGTAACCAAAAGGTAGAGTGCAGAAAGAAAATTACCTCGGGTGGTAGTGTACTTTATGAACGCCTTGGTGCTTCTCTCTATTATATAGCCTTTGAAACATTTGACAGGTTATAGTTATAAGGAAGAAAAACCTCCTTTAGCTTCTTTCGCATCTTTTCCCAATCAACAATCTTAGGCTTTCCTTACCTTTGTCGTGCCATAATGAACTGATCCCACCAAGCTGATGCTCTTCCTCTTAGTTTTACAGCAACCAATTTAACCTTTTTATCCTCGGGTGCATCCTTCAGGTCAAAGATTCTTTCCACAGTGGTTTACCAATCAACGAAACCTTCTCCATTCAGATCTCCTACAAATTTTGGAATTTCGACCTTAAAACCACCATCCCAGTGCCTCTCTTCATATGGAAAAAGGTGATGGCCTTGGTGCTTCATTTCTGCGAAAAGGATTAACAAATTCCTCTTCCAAATTGTAGTCTTCCTCAGATTCGACGCCATCACAGGAAGCACTTATTGCTGATCAACTGCTGCGTCCTGATTAGGCCGAACGGTTAGTCTGCGAGGCAGGTTTCTTCTTCTTGGTGGCTTGTTGCAAACCCTAAGAGAGAAATCTGATAACCCTACACAAAACTAATGGACCAAAACTTGCTCTGATACCAATTAAAGCAATCAGCTTATGAAAGAGAGAATTAAATCACTAAGAAGGAAAAACAGAGAGCAAGAGTAAGCTAACGAATAGCTTAAACACCCACAACTCAATCCCAAACAAAGGGAGCGATAAAAAGCTATTATAGCAAGTTGATATTATTGATAATACGTAAAAGGCTGCTCATTACGACTTCGAACAACCCTTTTATAAGCCACAGGGGATGCCCTAACAAAGGTATAATCCTAGCCCTTCAAATAAATGTAATCCAAAGGCTAGTATTTTCTCTAGTAGAATAAAGAGCTAAAAATTACAAAACAGACCTTAAATAGTCATATGACTCACTTAAAAGGCACATGACTTATAAAATAAAACCAAATGACAATAATATCCTAAGTATGAAATAAAACAGATTAAAAACTTATAAATAACTCAAAACTAAAAACAATCACATAATCAGACTCATCATTAACTGCCCTATTTATGGAAACTCAGTCTATTTACGGAAACTCGGTCGAGTCTTCTTAGAGTATTCAACTATTTGAAAATAGCCTTCTTTCACTTTCTCTGCATCAGGCAATAAGGAGGATCGACGAATTGGGGTATGCTTGGAGCCAATCCTCATGAACTAGACCCCTGTCCAGTTTAGCATAAATTCTCCTCTGGCTAAACCTCTTATTGCACCACGTAAATTCACCATTAGGGATTGGACTCTGTCAAGCATAATTAATCAATGGTGTTATTAAATTCCTGAAGAACTTTGGGAAAGAGTCTCAACCCACCCTTCTTTTCATTGTTGAAACGAATAATGTTCCAATCCCTAATCAAAATCCATAGGCCAACCACCATAGAAGCACACTCAAGTAAATCACTCCGCAACCGTCTTCTCTCAATGATAGTATTCTTTGCATAAACAAAGGCAACAAGGAAGCAAGAATTAGATCCTCTAACTCCTACTTTTAACAGCATAACTTGGGCTCTGACCAACATTATGTTGACATCCATTTTAGTAGCATCCCAACCACACCATAGACGACCACCAACATCTGCAGAATAATTATTAATCCAGGACCACTCATCCAGTCTTCCTTGATCGTAGACTTAATCTTTGTAATCTTGATGTTATTTACTCTAGTTTCAACTGAACAGCAAAGAATCAAAAAGTACTTACTCAACCAGGACCTAACTTCAGCTTGCATCTTCGTCCTATTGAGCCCTTAGACATTCCACAAACCAATCATATAGCTGTGTGGTGGAATAGCTCCACCTGCTACCATACCTCTAGTAACCTTAGTTTTGTTAGGGTCAACCTCAACCTCTTTCTTCTTGTGTTTCTTTCTTTTATTCTTAGACAATACTAGCATAGAAGACACTTCACCATCCCCATTCTTGTCTAGAGAATTTGCTTCTGAGGTCATATTCTCAGTAGATACCCCTATGTCAACCACCTCTTCATTAGTGGCTGAGATATGAGGAACCTTTTCTCTTTCAGTAAATTTGTCTAGCACTTCAAAAGCATTAGGGGACAAAACTCGAACTTGCATCACCTAATTTCCTTTATCCTTGAATTCGTTCTTCGACTTACTTTCGGTGACAAACCCATCAGATACAGCCTCCTTCTCTATACTAGTAGTCTCATTCCTTTAATCAGATTCATGAGGTAAAGACTCCTTCTCCTACACAGCAGGAACACCATTCACTGTAGATAACTTCCCTTTAGCTTTAACCACATGTTGTTCAGTACCCTTAGTTATAACTGTCTGCATTTTCCCTACTGAGCATAGCTTCTCATTATGGCCAATTCGCTTATAGACTTTGTGTGGTTGAGGTTTTCACTCATACTCCACTCGTACTTTGCATGAACGCCCATGGAGCACGGTACAAATGGTATCCGGGAATCCACCATTGACTTCCATATTAGCCATGACATGAACAAACAGTCCTCTTTCTCGTTGAAGAGAAACATCATTTATATACAAGGTTTTCGCAATATTGGACACTACCTTTGCAATCGAGTACTACTGCGTGCATGTACAGGAAGATCATATAACTTAACCTAGATCAGAATCGAGGCAAGGATGTCTCATTCCAATTGTATGCTTTTGTCATACTTCTTGATGATCACCAACTACCCTTCGAACGTATGAAACCTAGGCAACCTACAGCATATCTTCCTCGCTTGGTAGCCGGCCTTGGAAGAAACCTTTCTTCAAAGAAATCACCACCGCATTCTTATTCCATCTATTCTGAACAAAGGCTTTAAAATGTGGGGGTTTATTCTCCAATACATTGCAAACCACATAATTGGCCCAATACTTTAGTTTGTCTGCAATATCTTCATCTTTAATATCAACAATGTCTTTAGATCGTATATCTCTATAATATTGCAATGGAGTAAACCCCATAGGTGATGAGTTCACCAATATGGAGCTCCACGATAGATGATGGGAGGATGGAACCCCTCTCCATGATGAAGTAGTGTTCTCCTAGCCCAAAACCCTAGCAAACCCTAGGGATGTTGAACTCTTTAATTTGTAGCATGCAATAATAGATGTCTACACACCAATTTCTAAAAAAGATAGAATGCTAAAAAAAATATTGATGCAACTCTAGAACTTACAAAAAAACTCTCAGTGTACGTATATGAGTTGATATGTATTCTGCCCTAGTATGGTATATTTATAGGAAAAATAGAAGCATAGAGAGAATAGGGTTGGTCGTGTTTAAAACCAGAATGGAAAGTGCTTTTCCACATGGTTTGACGTTACTCCAAAGACCCTCGATCGATAATCAATCAAAGTCTACTACAGTATTTTTATACTTATTAACTAGAAATTAAAGCATAAGTTACAGTCCAATTTTGTTCTACAAAATTTGCCATACTGATTCTTAAATTGCCTTGTATGGGCTAAAAGTGACAGTTTAGCAATGGATGTAATGAAGCTGTCTTTAGATGTTACCGTAAGCATTTCAATTGGTTTTTCCCATTTTTACCTCTTCAAAATTTTCGTTACAGAATCTTGTGAGATTGTGATGTGATTGCTCGGCTTTAGTGGATGAAAGCATAACTTATGATTAATTGAAGGGGAAAAAGCCAATTCCTGAAAGTGATGGCTAAAAAGCCTTAAATCATGATGTTACCATGGTAGGTTATGTTCAAGCTCCCATGGCTTCTGCATACCAGGGTTGTATATGCTTGTATAGCTCAATGAGCTTTTTGTGTTGGCTTCATCTATCCAAAAATCACTATCATGTGGTGGTTTTGTAGGTGGGCTACATTGTCATGATCGATCCTTCTACTGGGGTTAGAACTAATTTATTGAGAATGAGAGGTGCTGGTGTCGTAGGTATCTACCACCCTTTGATTGATGAGAACCTTGTGAAGATTCTTCATGGGTAAATTGAATTCCATCCCATTTGCACCTCTGTTTGTGTCTGTGTAAGTAGTGTGTAATTTTGTGTTAACGCTTGATATTCTATATCTTAATAGGAGGAATAAGAAGGTGTATGCCTGGACAGTTGATGATGCAGTCTCCCTGCAGAGAATGTTGTTGGAGAAAGTAGATGCTATTGTCACAAGCAACCCCACTTTACTTCAGAGTCTCATGCAAGACACCAAGACTAAATGTCTTGAGGAGGGTTTTTCTTTGTTACAATGAGAATTGAAAAGTTTTTAAACGATTGAACTTGTACAAATTGGAAGATCTATTTTATTTAGTTATTTTTTTCTCAACTTTGTGAATACAATGAATGCAGATAACTGTATTTTTAACCAAATATTAATGAATTTTTGTAATAATAGAACCTCATCTTTCTTTCTTTACCAATCAAGTAAATGTTTGTTTCTTAGTTTACTCGACATACGTGGTGGTGTTGATTGTGTGATCAGTTTTGAATATGCCTCAACTTTCCAAATTCTGTCTTAGATTGATCATCTATCTCATAGAGCACTACCCTCTTGAAACATTCACATTTAGAGTTTATATGCACACCAAGTGTTTGATAAATTTGTCATAAACTCTATGATAATATGTTTCATGATATTTGCACCTTGAATGTTATTCACATCAATATTATGCAAATGCTAATTCAAAATAGTTTGTTGAATTGAATGCATTGAAGTTTAAATGAATTCATTTATTTGAATCAATGATGATCACACTTAGTTACATGACTAATTCTCATGATTCAATGTTTAAAATGAATTGGTCATTTGCTAAAGCAATCTACTCAAGTGTAGTAAGCTCATTGTTTTACATTCTGAATATTAAGTGATATCTACATTACAACTCACTAGAAGAACATTCATCACAATGAATCATATTTGGCTCTAAAGTAAAGAGACAAGTAAAAGAAGCTTAGAGAAGATAAACTGAAAAAGTTTCATAGTTTGGCAATGACCCTAATCACCCCCCTCCCCTAGGGCCAATACTATAAAGATTTAATCTTCGAAAGAAAAAGAGAGTTTTGAGTTAAACATATTCGAATTTCCTTTGAAGTCACAAAGAGTGTTTAATGAGTAAAGATTGAATCTTTGAATAAAAATATGTCAATTAAGGCACCTTTTAAGTCAATTAAACGTTTTAATAAACAAAGATTGAATCTTTGAAAAAAATGAGAGTTTCCAGTTAAACTTATTTGAGTTTCCTTTGAAGTTACAAAGAGTGTTTCAATGTGTAAAGATTGAATCTTTGAATGAAAATACCCGAATCAAGGTATTTTAGGTCACTAGACCATTTTAATGTATACAGATTGAATCTTTAAAAGAAAATCAGAGTTTTGAGTTAAACTTTTTCGAGTTCCCTTTCAAGTCACAAAGAGTGTTTTAATGGGTAAAGATTGAATCTTTGAATGAAAATACCTCAATCAAGGTACTTTTTAATTTACTAGAAATAAACATTTAAGTTAAATGTATTCGAGTTCCCTTTGAAGTCACAAAGAGTGTTTTAATGCATAAAGATTGGATATTTGAATGAAAATACCTCAATCAATGTACCATTTAAGTCACTACATGCATATTTTTAATGTATAAAGATTGAATGTTTGAAATAAAATGAGAGTTTTTAGTTATACTTATTCGAGTTCCATTTAAGTCACAAAAAGTGTTTTAATGTCTTAGGATTGAATCTTTGAATGAAAATATATACCTTAATAAAGATAACTTTGAAGCCACTAGACATTTTAATGTATACAGATTAAATATTTAAAAAAAAAAAAAAAAGAATTTTGAGTTAAAATTATTTGAGTTCCCTTAGAAGTCACAAATGGTGTTTTAATTTGTAAAGATTGAATCTTTGAATGAAAATACCTTAATCATGGTAACTTTGAAGTCATTAGAGCATTTTTAATGTATAAAGATTGAATCTTTCAATGAATATAAAAGTTTTTAGTTAAACTTATTAGAATTTCCTTTGAAGTCACAAAAATTATTTTAATGTGTAAAGATTGAATCTTTGAATGCAAATATCTCAATCAAGGTAACTTTGAAGTCACTAGAGCATTTTAATGTATAAAAGATTGAATCCTCAAAAGAAAATGAGAGTCTTGAGTTAAACTTATTCAAGTTCCCTATGAAGTAACAAAGAGTGTTTTAATAAGTAAAGATTGAATCTTTAAATGAAAATACCTCGATCAAAATACCTTTTAAGTCACTAGCTAGACCTTTTTAATATATAAAGACTAAATCATTGAAAGAAAATAAGAGTTCTAAGTTAAACTTATTCGAGTTTCCTTTTAAGTCAGAAGAGTATTTTAATGAGTAGAGATTGAATCTTTGAATAAAAACACTTCAATTAAAGTACCTTTTAAGTTACTAGACCATTTTAATGTATAAAGATTGAATCTCTGAAAGAAAATGAGAGTTTTCATTAAACTTTTTTGAATTTCCTTTAAAGTCACAAAAAGTGTTTTAATGAGTAAACATTGAATCTTTTAATAAAAATACCTCAATAAAGGTTACTTTGAAGTCACTGGAGCATTTTAATGTATAAAATATTAAATCTTTGAAAGAAAATCAGAATTCTGAATTAAACTGTGACAACTCGGATTTTTTTAGATTTTAATTTTTAATTTTATTTTTGAGTTTGTTTTAGTGGAGGTGTAGTTGTTGTTATTTTATATATAGTGTGTGTATATATATATATAGTGTATTAGAAGGGAAGTGAGCATGTGTCGAAATGAAAAGAGGGAAAATACAGAGAGGGTCGAGATTGAGGAGGTACAGAGAGAGGTCCGAGAGTTTGCAGAGGAGGCTGAAAGCTTGAGGCTTTGATGAGGCCAGAAGCTTAAGGCTTTGATGATCCAGTGAGGAAAATTCTTTTTCAGTGTAGGGTTCTCTATACCCTGAATGGCTTGGGGTGGTTTTGCTTCAAATGGTTTTTATCAAATGGTTTAATTAAATGCATATGTATTTTGTTTATATACTCACATGAATATGTATATTTTGTGAATCTGTTTTATTAAACCTCCATGAAATTCTTGTTATGGTTTTTCCTATTGGGACTTTTCGTCTCACCACCCTTTAGTTTTAGATACCGAAGATGGACGTGGATTGCTAGATTCGAGCTTAGGTAGAAGAGTTGGCGTTGCATGATTTATTTTGTTTATTTAGAGAATTTTTGTGTATATTTGAGGAAATTGATTTTATATAAAAGAGGGCAATTTTTATGATAATAAGAGTATAGTGATGTATTTGGATTTGAATGAATTGAGGATTTTATTAGGATTTTTGGGTCGTGACAAAATGGTATCAGAGCCTGTACCCAGCTAGAAGTGTGAATGGTAGCGATGATGTAGATGGGTGTGAGTGGGTGAGTGTGTAGTACTGGTTAGCTATCAGTCGTAGTCGGGTGTGTGTGAGCGAAAGGCGTTCACTGGCAACTATAGGGATGGTTAGTTAGTGTGATTGGGCAGATGGCACGAGTTTGTTATTTTTTTTTAGTGGGCGGGTGACGCATTGACTAGCTACCACAATGGTTACGGAGTGTGTGGGCAGGTGACTAGCATTGACAGCTGCCACAACGTCCTATATATCACGGTATCTTATATCGCCTGGTGTAAGGATTTATGGATTTGGTTTTGTGGTTATTGATGATTTCGGTTATGCCACAATTGTTGGATTTGAATTTCGGGGATGAAATTCATTTTAAGTGGTGGAGTGTGACACCCCTCGGATCCGAGACATGGGTTGATTAGGCCCAAACCCAAACCCGAGGGAAATATCAAACAATTAATATTTAAAATGAACACAGATTACAAAATGAATTAAGAAATAAATAATTGAAAGCTGAAAGAATTCTAAAAATAAAGTCCTTTAAAATTTAAATACTTCAAATCTAAAACCTCTAATTGTTTAACAACTCGGGAATCTATCCAGTGGACCCCTATTAAGAAAATCTAAACTAAAGTGTGAAACAAAAAGAAATCTATAACAAAATCATGAAGAGAGGTCATACATCATCAGAAGAATGAGTGACTGTCTCTGGTCAGCACGAACAACCTCTATGCCTAGAACGGACGAACACCTGAAACATAAAACTGGGTCAGGCCCACAAACAAGTTCTATCCTACTGCAATCAAAGCAGAGACTCGATACGCATGTACATCCTAACTAACTCAACAATAACTATGTAGTCCGTATATATATATATATATATATATATATACGCACACTATGGGACTCTCACTGGACTATGATGAGGGTCTCAACTTGAGTAGAAGGCAACATGCAAAACGTACCTGAGTGGGCATGACTAACTAAGCCAACATGGTATACTTCAACCAACATAGCCAGCTACGCATTCTACTGCATATATGCTCCCTAACCGTCGACTCTGAGACTCAAGCTCATATCGCGATACCATAAAAATATATTTAAATTCCGATCCTATCCATCCATAAGAAATCCAGTTAGTCGTTCAACTTGTTCAGCCGCACATACTTACATATAAGGAGGATTCTATTTTTATAATCTGTACCTTTATTCCAAAATAAGTAGGATTTAGCAATTTGAGCTAATCCATCTCTAGTATGCCACCGTCCCATACCGGTGCATACAATCCAAACATCCAGCGGTTGATAATACAGATTATAAGTGTAAATATCAACCAATCCATAAATGATACAATTGAAAATAGAAATATTAAATATAAGCATCAATTGTTCCATACAAAGCATGATAAAATTATGTAAATTAACAGGCTTATTCGACATTACTCCACAAGGTCCAATAATTGATAATACATAACACACATGTAAACATCAACTAATTTCCAAGTAAGCATAAAAATATAAGTTCCCATGCTTATTTCATACCAGTCCAATAACTGATGAACTAAATAGTTAATTTATGAACATCAATTAATCTTAGAAAGTTTTATACAAATTCAAACATGCTTAATCCTACCACTGATACATGATTATTGTGGTATAACCATCCACAAGAAACTGTTAAATTAATCTTAAGTAATTAAAGTTCTTCACATCCAACAACAGTATGCAAATTTATTCTAAAGATTTATATACAGTTTCTGCTATAAGCACTAGTGTTTCATTACACATTAACCAATCTTTGGAAGTTTTAATATGGCTTTAGACATTACTGAAAACCCCTATTAAACCTTCTACCTAAATCAGAAAACTCAAAAATCCAAGCATCGTAGCTAAACAGGTCACAGAAAAACCAAAAAATAAAAA